AGCTTTGTCAAATTGAGAACTGGGGGTCTTTTCCCATTGATGCTGATAATATTACAGGATACTTTTCAATTGGAAAAGAGTTATTGTGTTGGAAAATTATATGCTTCTGTTATATGTTCTATAATCTTAAAGAAAATCCATGTAATTTGAGTCAGGAGTGTGCAGGATGGTCTTGTTCTTAATGTTGGAAGGGTGTAAAATACCACTTAATACTTAAGTGGGCATTCAGAGGGTCTCATTTGATTAGAAATGGTTATATATAGATTAGCTTTAAGCTAGTTATGTAATCCACTTTAATGTCTTGAAAAAGAAAGTAGAAAGGGTTCCTGTACTATAGTCAGAAGAAAATTATCACATTGGAAAAGAAGGGATTAAGAACAATTCTTTAAATAGGTCTTTTGACTACATTACAAAGCAAAAGTGATCTTGATTACAGGAAAGGTACTTAGGCATTAAGAGAAATTTTGTGAAAAACATCTAGGAGCGTGCTAAGTAAAAATCAGGAAGATATGACTTGTCTTGTAGTCCACATTATAATTTCTGTTACCATAGTTAACTGTTTAGCTGTCATCTAGGTATTATTAACATATAGAATGCACGATATGTAACAATAAATAGTTATGTCATAGAGAGACTCTATTATAAACAATTCTTTTTGATGATAAAAGTGGTAGGAATAGCATTTTAAATGAATAATAACTTTAGCTAACGTGGCACTGAGTTTCAGATACTCTTGTAATCACTTCGTGTGAATTAACTCATTTAACTCTGCAAAGTGCAATATCATTATTATTCCTAATATATAGATGGGTAAACCAAGGCTCAGAGATTAAGTAACATACTGACAAGTAGCAAGGATTAAGTAACATACTGACAAGTAGCAAGAAATTATGACTTTACATATACTTTGAAAACTGCATTAAAAAAAGCAGGCAGTCAGTTACCTTTCCAGTGTTTTTTTTTAAATATTTCTACCGCATAAATGCAGCAATAATAGATTATATCTTTAGAGAAAAGGTAGTATTTATGTTAAAGATACAGACTAGTGAAAAGTTAAGCATGAACTCTAGAGGGAGGGAAGGAAATTACACTAGAAACTTGGTGAAAAGTTTGAAAGGTGGCAGTGTGGTGTTGTGGAAACCTGAGTTCTTACCATGCCTGATTATTAGTTAATGACATTTACTTCCCCAATTCCTGAGGAATGTAAAAATATGTTAAGAAGTTCATTTTCTTTTATCTTACCCATTTCCACTACAATTGTGCTAGGACAACTAAGGTGTGTCTTAACATACATAAACTCCATGGACCTGAGTTTCTTCATCTGTAAAAATGAGATGCTTATACTACATTACTCTCTAAAGCCAGCTCTGGTATTTGTTCATTTTTTTCTTTCTCTTATTATATTTTCAATTGTCTTCTAGCTCAGGGATCCCCAACCCCCAGACTGCGAACCAGTACTGGTCCGTGGCCAGTTAGGAACCAGGCCATGCAGCAGGTGGTGAGGAGCCAGTGTGCGAGTGTTACCACCTGAGCTCTGCGTCCTGTCAGATCTGCTGAGGCATTAGGTTCTCATAGGAGCACAAACCCTATTGTGAACTGTGCATGTAAGGAATGTAGGCTGCACACTCCTTGTGAGAATCTAATTAATGCCTGATGATCTGAGGTGGAACAGTTTCATTCTGAAACCATACTCCCTACACCCCCATCCATGGAAAAATTGTTTTCCACAAAATTGGTCCCTGGTGCCAAAAAGGTTGAGGACCACTGCTCTCGCTGACCCACCAAGTCTGAGAATTTTTTTCTTAATTTAACATACTGTAAGTAACTTTTGGCAATCCAAGATTGATTTGTTGACTCATAATGCTTGCAATTTAAACGGAACAATTAATTGAGACTGCAGTGGTAATGTGTCTCTCATTTGCCATGTTTTTAAGATGAAAAATATCCCCTTTACGGCTTGTTTAAAATGTCATCATTGATAATGCTTTTAAGTTGGAAAATCTGAGTATAAATGCTCCACAGTTTCCTTTTACAGACAGTGAAAGAAAGAAACTTTTGTTTTTCTTTTGAGACAGTCTTACCCTGTCGTCCAGGCTGGAGTGCAGTGGTACGATCTAGTCTCACTGCAACCTCCGCCTCCCCGGTTCAAGAGATTCTCCTGCCTCAGCCTCTCAAGTAGTTGGGATTACAGGCGCCGCTACCACACCCAGCTAATTTTTTTTTCTTTTTTTGTATTTTTAGTAGAGATGGGGTTTCACCGTGTTAGCCAGGCTGGTCTTGAACTCCTGACCTCAGGTGATCCACCCGCCTCAGCCTCCCAAAGTGCTGGGATTACAGGCATGAGCCACTGTGCCAGGCTGAAAGAAATCTTAAAATAACTTTCTAATTATCTTCTGATTTACCTAGCTGATAGGAAATATATGAAGGATGATTTAGGGCATTATTATATTTATCATGTAGTCTAGCTTAAAAGAATTATAGTGTTTCAGAGACTCTGAAAAAAAATAATAATAAAATCTCCCAGTAAGGAAAAACCCAGGACTCAATGGATTCACTGCTGAATTCTACCAAACATTTAAAGAACTAATACCAATCCTACTACACTATTCTGAAAAATACAGGAGGAGAAAATACTTCAAAATTCACTCTACAAGGCCAGTATTACCCTGATACCAAAACCAGACAAAGACACATCAAAAAAAGAAAACTGTAGGCCAATATTTCTGATGACTATTTGTGTAAAAATCCTCAACAAAATACTAGCAAACCAAATTCAACAATATGTTAAAAAGATCATTCTTTGTGACCAAGTGGGATTTATCCCTCAGATGCAAGGATGGTTCAGCATATGCAGAGCAATCAATGTGATCCATCTTATCAACAGAATGAAGGATAAAAACCATATAATCATTTCAATTGATACTGAAAAAGCATTTGATAAAATTCAACATCACATCAATGTAAAAACCCTTGAGAAACTGGTTATAGAAGGAACATACCTGAATATCATAAACACCATATAGGACAAACCCACAGCTAGTGTTATATTGAATAGGGAAAAACTGAAAGGCTGCTCTAAGATCCGGAACGTGACAAAGATGCCCCCTCTCACTGCTGTTATTCAGCATAGTACTGTAAGTCCTAGTTAGAGCAACTCAGCCATCTGACAAGGGGTTAATAACCGGAATGTATAAGGAACTTAAACAATAGGTGAAAAATTTGATTTTAAAATGGGCAAAAAACTTAATAGACATTTCTCAAAAGAAGATGTACAAATGGCAGACAGGTGTATGAAAAGTTGTTCAATCAACATCATTGATCATCAGTGAAATAAAAATCAAAACTATGAGGCAATGTCATCCCACCCCAGTTAAAATGACTTCTATTAAAAAGGCAATAACAAATGCTGGTGAGGAGGTGGAGAAAAGGGAAACCTTGTACACATTTGATGGGAATTAAATTAGTGCAACCACTATGAACAACAGTTTGGAGGTTCCTCAAAAAACTTAAAGTAGAACTACCATATGATTCAGCAATCCCATGCTAGTTATATACTCCAGAAAAAGGAAATTAGTGTATCAAAGAGATATCTGCACTCCCATGTTTATGACAGCACTATTCACAATAGCCAAAATTTGGAAGCAACTTAATTGTACATCAACAGACAAATGGATTTAAAAATGTATATATACACCACAGAGTACTATTCAGCCATAAAAGTGAGATCTCGTCATTTGCAACAACATGCATGGAAAGAGGAGGACATTATATTAAGTGAAATAAGCCAGGCAGAGAAATGCAAACTTTGCATGTTTTTACTTATTTGTGGGAACTAAAAATTAAAACAATTGAGCTCACGGAGATAGAGAATAGTATAATGGTTACCAGAGGCTGGAGAGGGTAGATAGGTGGGGGAGAGGTCAAATACAAAGATGTATTTGACAGCACGACAGGGTGACTGCAGTCAACAATAATTTATTGTGCATTTAAAAATAAAAGATTTTAATTGGATTGTTTGTAACATAAAGGATAAATGAGGTGATGGATACCCCATTTACCCTGCTGTGACTATTATGTGTTGTGTGCCTGTATCAGAATACCTTATGTAATCCCTAAATATATATACCTACTATGTACTCATAAAGATTAAATATATACCAAGTAATAAGGCCCACTCCTAATAGTTTTAGACCCAGAGAAATATTATAAAGTCTGCATACCACATGCTTGCATAAACATTATCAATCAAGCTAAAATTAAATAAAATATGTTGATATTCTATCTTAAAAATATATTTTCCTTACAAATATACCTTCATATAGACCTGGAAGACCAGGATTAAATTTAGAATTATTTGAGTTTCTTATGGACTGAATCCTTATGTGTCCCCCAAATTCAAATGTTGAATTCCTAACCCCCAGTGTGATGACATTAGGAGGCAGGGCCTTTCGGAGGTGATTAGATCATGAGGGTGGAGCCCTTGTGAATGAGATTAATGCCCTTATATAAGAGAAACTAGAGAAATCCCTCACAATTTTTTTTTTTTTTTAGTTTTGAGACGGAGTCTCACTCTATCGCCCAGGCTGGAGCACAATGGTTTGATCTCAGCCCACTGCAACCTCTGCCTCCCAGGTTCAAGAGATTCTCCCACCTCAGCCTCCCGATGGGGTTTCACCATGTCAGCCAGGCAGGTCTCAAACTTCTGACCTCAGGTGATCTGCCCGCCTCGGCCTCTGAAAGTGTTGGGATTAGAGGCATGAGCCACTGCGCCCCATCTCCCTCACTTCTTTCACAATGTGAGGACAGAGGAAGCCATCTATGAAGCAGGCCCTCACCAAACAATAAATCTGCTAGTGCCTTGATTTAGGCAATATATCGTTGTTATTTAAGCAACCTAGTCTATGGTTTTTACGTTGTAGCAGTCCAAATGGACTAAGACAGAGTACTTGGGCTTCTATGCCCAAATGCAGCAGTACAGAGACAGCTACCACTCGTCCTACCTTGCTTCTTTTTCTACCCACAGCCAGAGATATAAGCTTCGTCTTGACTTCAGGCTCTTTGGGCAGGGGATTCTTTTGTCCTGAGCCCCTAGAATGAGTGAAACATAACCTGTAACAGGGCACATAGGAGACTTATATGCAGATCCTCTTAGCTAAGGACATTGTGGGGTATGGCAATAGAGAAAGGACCAAGAGCACTCTCTAAAAGCAGGCAAGGTGTGCTGTGGTTTGAATATTTGTCCTGTCTAAAACTCATATTGATATTTAATCACTGTTGTAATGGTGTTAAGAGGTAGGAGTTTTACGAGGTGATTAGCTGTGAGGGCTCCACCCTCATGGGTAGGATTGGGACCATTAGAAAAGGGCAAGTTCAGTTCCCTCTTGCTCTCTCTTGGGCTGTATCCATGCTATGTGAGGATTCAGCATAACCCTCCTCTTCAGAGGATGCAGCATGCATGGTGTCATCTTGGAAACAGAGATACTGGGCTCTGACCTGCTTGCACCTCGATCTTGGACTTCACAGCCTCCAGAACTGTGACCCAATACATTTCTGTTTTTTATAAATTACCCAGTCTCAGATATTTTGTTATAGCAGCATAAAGTAGACTAAGACAAGGTATAAATTAATTGTAATATATATTTATATTATTGTACCATCTATTCTGGTTATTTGCTGTAGTTATGTTCTTTGAAGTTGCCACAAACACTGAATTAGCAAATAATAAAAAAAAACATTGATCCTAGGGGAAATGTAGGGTTAGGTTCCTGAGAGCCTCTGCTCACAGTTTCCTCAGGTGATCAATAAAAGGCTTTGTTTTATGTTTGTTTTTGTTTATAACATGTTATTTAATATATATTGTTGATTTATTTAACATTGAACTTACGGTTAACAGCACTGTAACTCATGCGTGAGTGACACTTACCTAAGCATATGTGTTTTCCCCATAAGGCACATCATGGGCTTCTTGCTCTTAGGAACACTAAACAACACTTAATACACTAATTGGGAGCCATTTGAAATGGCAAAATTGCCAACAAAAGGTACAAAAATGCAAAAATCATGGCACTGAATAGACTGTGAAAAGGATACTTGCAGTGTGAGAGCTGAAAGAAGGAGGCATAGCATTACCTTGCTTAATTTCAGCTGGGAAGATGCATGTCAAGTGACTCAAGTTTTTCACCAGTCTGCACATGTCACCAATGACCAAGAAAGCATTGCTAGTATTGATATGGGGGTTATAAATAAATTTTAGGAAGTAGATGAATTTGCAAATGTGGAATCCGTGATTAACGAGGATCAACTAATTATGTTGGAAGGCTTGATATGATGGCCCTCCTCTTCCACCACACTTCTTTTTTTTCATAATACAGATGTTTGATAGGTATTCATAAAATAAAAACCAAAATACCATTGCACTCTGAAGTTAAAAAAAAGTTTCTAAACAACTCTTGACTCAAAGAAAAATATAAAACAAAAGGAACCATATTTAACAAATGTTATGTTAGCATCTGTGAAATACAGCTAAAATAATTATCAAATAAAATTTATAGCATTAAATACTTATGTAAATAAGGAGAAAAAAATAAATGAATTAAAACCCAGGTAAAAAGTTAGAAAAAGGAAAATAGAGTAAATCAAAAGAAAGCAGAAGAGAGGAATTGATACGAAGGTAAAATCAAAAGTAATGCTTTAAAATACAAAAAAAAAGTGGAACAAACAAAAAGCTGTTTTGTTATAACATTATTGCAGGTTACATTGCATGTTGCAGAGGTTTGATGTATAGATTATTTTGTCACTCAGGTGATAAGCATAGTACCCCCAATTGGTAATTTGTTGATCCTCACCCTCTTCCTACCCTCCACTCTCAAGTAGGAACTGGTGTCTATTGTTCCCTCCTTTGTGTCCATATGTACTCAGTGTTTAGTTCCACCTTAATAAATGAGAACATGCAGTATTTGGTTTTCTGTTCCTGTATTAGTGCACTTAGGAGAGTGGCCTCCATCTCCATTCATGTTGCTGGAAAGGAATGATCTCGTTCTTTTTTTTTTTATGGCTACATAGTTTTCCATGTTGTATTAATATATGTACCACATTTTCTTGATCCAACCTAACGTTAATGGGCATTTAGATTGATTCTTTGTCTTTACTATTGTGAATAGTGCTGTAATGAACATACACATTCATGTCCCATGTGTCTTTGTGGTAGAAGGATTTGTAGTCCATTGGTTTTATACCCAGTAATGGGATTGCTGGGTTGAATGATTGTTCTGTTTTAAGTTCTTTGAGGAAACACCAAACTGCTTTCCACAGTAGCTGAACTCATTTGCATTCCCACTAGCAGTGTATAAGCATTCCCTTTTACCTGTAGCCTCACCAGCATCCATTATTTTTTACTTTTAGATGATAGTCATTCTGACTGTACACCCCATTTTGAAAAAAAATTAAATTTTGTTCAAAATATATTTACTCATACTGTGTAATTTGATTTTTACAAAACACTGTGAAGTATGCGGACATATTTTTTATTCACTGACTAAATATTAAGGGTCTTGTAATGTGTCAGGCGCTGTGCTAGGTGCTGTGGATTTAGTGGTGAATATGGGCAAAGGTCCTTGCTCTCATGAGTAGCTTATAGTTTGGCAAACATTCTTTTCATTTTTCAAATGAGGAAATTTTATGCAGTTGAATAACTTTTCTAGGATCACAAGATGTGTAATAACAGAACCAGAATCAAAACTCAGTTTTTAGTATTTTAAAAATCAATGTTGCTCCAGTTATCTCTTGTATCTTTAATTTCCCCTTTCCATTAGCTTTTTCCACTCATCCAGTAAAATGTCTTCAAAAAAATTCTCCATTGACCTTGGTTCTTCGAACTGTCACTCCTTTCTTCTTGCAAAACATTAATTGACTACTATCCATTGGCTTCTCAGCCCACTCCCTTTCACCACTGTCAGTCTTCTAAACGGTGACTACTAAAGTGGCCAGTGTTCCTTATTTGCCAAACATAGTGGATTTACTGTGACATCTGATATTGTCATAAGTCTTGAAATTTGAAATTTCTTCCTCTATGGGCAGGAGCATGTCTTTCCTGATTATCTTCTTGCCTGTCTGAGCACTGCTCTATTTTCTTTTCCAGCGTCTGTTCCTCTTTGTGATATAAATGTCACTGTTCTTCTGAGTTTTATTTGACCCTCTTGACTTAACACGAAATCAAGGATTCTTCTTCTGAGTCTCAGGGGACTTGGGAGGTCTGTTAACCCCTCAATTATATGCAAATTTTATCAGATTCTTAGAGGAGTTCAAAACTCAAAAAAGTTGAGACAGACTGCTCTCTGTGTATTCCTTTAGCTTTATCTGCTGCATGAGTGACTTCCAAATTTATGTCCCCTACTTCCTACGTTTCCCCTTGTCTGACTCCCACCTTTGATCGTCAGCAGCCTTAGCATAGTTCCTCAGGAGTGCTGCCATAGCACAGTGGTTTCTTTATTGCCAATCTACCTACCTATCCTCTTACCCATTCCATCCTACTATCAGTTTAGAATTGTTTTTGTCTTTGAAACAAAAATATGATTATGTTCCTATCATGAAAATAATGTGGAGTTTTAATTATGGGCATATCCACATTTCTTGGCAAAATAAAAATCTCCCTATGATTTGACCCCAGTCTAGCTTTTCAACTTCATCTCCCTTTTCCTTGTCCAACCACTCTTTCACTCATTCTCGGTCTGACTTACAGTCCTGCATTTCATAACTCTAATGCCCATTTTAGTACTTTCTTGTCTTGTATTTGCTACTTCCTTCTCCCTGGAATACCCTTTCCTCCCCGATCCTCCACAGTTTCTCCATAGCCAACCCTATGCATCCTTCAAAACCTAGTCATATATCACCTTTATTATAAAACTGTCCCCAACTTACTCCAAGTGAAAACTTTTTCATGCTGTCATCTTATTCATGAACCTCATCCTTCCCAATGCATTATAATAAATTGTTGACATGCGTACTCTTTACCACTAGACTATGAGTCCCTCAAGGATAGGGATCCCCGTTTAATCATCATGGTATCTTCATTGGCTGGCACAATATCTGGTTTGTTATAAGGTAGTAGATAAGTATTTTTTGATGGATAAACATTTTTAGCATGCTAGTCTTACACGTGGGTTATATTTTCTCTAAAGCACGAAACCTTAAAAGGGTTTAAAAACATTTAAAAAACCATGTTTCATTTCTTAACTTGCATAAAAGATAAATGAATCATTGACTGCTTCTTTAGGCAATATTTTGCTAAGCAATAGGTGGCAGTAGTGTGTTGTACTTGACTTTACCTTTGTGATTTTTTTTTTTTTTTTTAGCTTTCGTAATCTTAATGCAGTGTCAAAGTATAAAGGACACAATTGCAGTACTCTGATACCTAACTTTTTGTAACATGATCATGTTTTAAGCAAGTGAGCATCTCATGGAAAATAAAGCAAAACAACAACAAAACACAGCCAAAGTCAGTCAATGTGCATCTCTCTCTTGCCTATCTAAACTGTATTCAGATTCATTAGAAAATTACAACTGCATGGTCCTAACAGCATTTCCACACTAACTTTTTAACAGCCGCTTCAAAATAACAGTGATTTGCAATAATGAAAATCTAAAATTATCTCAGGGGATATATGTTTCTCTTTTTCCCCCCCCCCCCGAGACAGAGTCTTGCTCTGTCGCCCAGGCTGGGGTGCAGTGGTGTGATGTCAGCTCACTGCAACCTCTGCCTCCCAGGTTCAAGCAATTCTCCTGCCTCAGGCTTCTGAATAGTTGGGATTACAGGCGCTTGCCACCACGCCTGGCTAATTTTTGTACTCTTAGTAGAGACGGGGTTTTGCCATGTTGGCCAGGCTGGTCTTGAACTCTTGACCTTGTGATCTGCCCATCTTGGCCTCCCAAGTGCTGGAATAATAAGCGTGAGCCACCATGCCTGGTCCGATTTTTATTTCTTGATATCCTAAGAAGCCTACTTAGGCCTTTATTTCAAAAATAGTATATTAAGTTCATTGACTAACTACAGTTATTAAATGCTTTATTTTTCTTCTTTTACCCCTTTTTTCCCCTGTCAGTATTAAGGTCACTTATCTTGTTTATTGAGCTTCATTTAGGTGACTTTCTCTCATCATTAGGTAGTTAGTATTAAGGGTTCTTGTCACCTCTCTAGCCTTAGGTATGCAATCCCATCATTAATTTTGAACACCTATATATGAGAATGTTACATACCTGTATACCTATATACGTTAGTATATTTCATTTCACTTGTTGTTTCCTGTAGCTTATAAAGTTAAATCAGTTGAAGTTTTATTTAAAGAACAGTTGTACATTTTAGGTCCACAGGAGCATTTCTGCAAATAAAAGAAATAGATAACTTTTATAGGAAGCAGTGTTAGCATTGATTCAAATAAGAGATAGTTAAAGATAATCTGTGACATTTTCTTTCTCATATCTTCTTTACTGGTTTTTTCCTATCTCAGGGGTAAAGCACTCGAGGGAATTCAAAGCCACTGTACTAGTATCATTAATATGGCAAAATGATCAATTAATAAAAGAAAAGCATGAAAGTATTGACAGAACACACTAGTTAATTAGTACCTGATGGCCTTGGTGTCCAGAGCAAGAGCTATGAGTTGTAGGAGAGCCTCTCTGTAGGATCTGTGTGTGTACATCGCCACTCTTATTTAGCAGTGATGAGTTTAGTTTGACATCAGTTTCTTGAGTCCTTAATTGTATAAAAAGACATCTTTTCCCTGAACCCAGGGAGTACGTGAAGTCAGCAAGTACTCTCCCTACTACTAATCGTCATCTGGGGAAATTGGAGGTAAAGGGTTGATACCAGAATTCTCTCTGTAGCGTGTATTGAATATATCATGGAAACTTACTTGATTTGATTTGGGGGAGTGGAGGTGTCTGGGTTTATATTTATATTGGATATTATGTAACCCACTGCACAAGATTTAAAGTTGTTTTTATATCTTACCTGCAGTCATACAGGAACAGGGATTATGCTACACTCGAATATATTCAAAAGAGAAAAAACGCATGTTACTAACAAAAGGAATCGGTGCAAGATTATATTTTAGAGTTAGTAAACCTCACAGTTAAAGATGTATTATAGAGGTTTTAAAAAAGGTTTGCCGTAAATTGCCATGGATTCAATAATTTAACCACATATCTTAACCTTTTACGTTTCTTTATTTTTGGGAATTCAGTTTCTGCAGATGTATCTCTTAATTCTTTTTTTTTTTTCAGGTTTCCTTTCTTCCTTTTTTTCTTTCTTTTTTTTTTTTTTTTTTTGTTTAAACTCTAGGATACATACGCAGAATGTGCAGGTTTGTTACATAGGTATACATGTGCCATGGTGGTTTGCTGCACCTATCAACTCATCATCTAGGTTTTAAGCCCCTCATGCATTAGGTATTTGTCCTGATACTCTCCCTCCCCTTGTCCTCCACACCCCGACAGGCCCCAGTGTGTGTTGTTCCCCTCCCTGTGTCCATGTGTTCTCATTGTTCAACTCCGACTTACAAATGAGAACATGTGGTGTTTGGTTTTCTGTTCCTGTGTTAGTTGGCTGAGAATGATGACTTCCAACCTCATCCATGTCCCTGCAAAGGACATGATCTCATTCTTTCTTATGGCTGCATAGTATCCCATGTGTATATGTGCCACATTTTCTTTATCCAGTCTATCATTGATGGGCATTTGGGTTGGTTCCAAGTCTTTGCTATTGTAAATGTGCTGCATAAACATATGTATGCATGTGTCTTTATAGTAGAATAATTTATAATCCATTGGATATATACCCGGTAATGGGATTGCTGGGTCAAATGGTATTTCTGGTTCCTCAAGGAACCAGAATGGTATTCCTCAAGGAATCACCACACTGTCTTCCACAGTGGTTGTTTGCAGAATTAGAAAAAACTACTCTAAATTTCATATGGAAGCAAAAAAAAAAAGCCTGTATAGCCAGGACAATCTTAAGCAAAAAGAACAAAGCTGGAGGTATCACGCTACCCGACTTCAAACTATACTACAAGGCTACAGTAACCAAAACAGCATGGTACTGGTACCAAAACAGAGATATAGACCAATGGAACAGAACAGAGACCTCGGAAATAACACCACACATCTGCAACCATCTAATCTTTGACAAACCTGACAAAAACAAGCAATGGGGAAAGGATTCCTTATTTAATAAATGATGCTGGGAAAACTGGCTAGCCATATGCAGAAAACTGAAACTGGACCCCTTCCTTCCACCTTATTCAAAAATTAACTCAAGATGGATTAAAGCCTTAAATGTAAAACCCAAAACCATAAAAACTCTAGAAGAAAGCCTAGGCAATACCATTAAGGACATAGGCACGGGCAAAGACTTCATGACTAAAACACCAAAAGCAATTGCAACACAAGCCAAAATTGATGAATGAGATCTAATTAAACTAAAGAGCTTCTGCACAGCAAAAGAAACGATCATCAGAGTGAACAGGCATCTTACAGTGTGGGAGAACATTTTTGCAATCTACCCATCTGACAAAGGTCTAATTTTCAGAATCTATAAGGAACATCAACAAATTTACAAGAAAAAAAAACAGCCCCATCAAAAAGTGGGCAAAGGATATGAACATATACTTTCAAAAGAATATATTTATGTAGCCAAGAAACATGAAAAAAAGCTCATCATCACTGGTCATTAGAGAAATGCAAATCAAAACCATGAGATACCATCTCACGTCAGTCAGAATGGTGATTATGAAAAAGTCAGGAAACAGTAGATGCTGGCAAGGCTGTGGAGAAATAGGAATGCCTTTACACTGTTAGTGGGAGTATAAATTAGTTATCTTAATTCTTTATTTGAAAAACAATACCTACCACAAATATTGCACAGCTTTATTGTCTTTCAGTGTTCTTTACTCTCTTCTCTCTCTTTTTCAAAACATCATCCTTCCTTTTCCTCTCTTTCTTCATCCTTCTCTTCTGTTTTCTTATTCCCCTTCTCCCGCTGTCTCTTCTTTCTTCACTACCTCCTTCTCCTCCCCATCCTCTCCCTGCCTTTCTCATCCTCTTGCTTCCCCCTCTTTCACTTCCTTCTCTGTTTTTCTCTTTTGCTGCTGCATCTTGCAGCTACCAGGAATCTCAGAATGAATGTCTCAATTTTGTTTCAAAGGCAGTCAGTGGTATAGTGATATTTAGCAGAAGTTTTAAAAATATGTTCAGAAGACCAAGAGATCTGTTTATAAATATTAATGGTATTAAAATGGCTCTTCTGGAGAATGGAGGCAATCATTAGAGATTTGGTAGACCCAAGGGATGTACATTTCTTCATATTGTTCTGTCAGTGTGGCTGGCCACGTAAGCACACTGAAGCATCACTTTAAGGCTCTCTCTGAGAACCGTGGGGCTGTCTATGTTAAATGTAGGATTCCATCATAAATAAATGTATAGGATTATTCACAAAGATTCCATAGCAAGGGCTGCCATTACATTACGAAGCCAAATGGTGAGCTCTAGGAAAGCGTATTGTTTTTGACTACATACAGCCCTGTGTCGCTTCAAGATCGGGATGTGTTCCGAGAAATGTGTCATAGGGCAATTTCACCCTGTGAGAACATCACAGAGTGCACTTACATAAGCCATCCGTATATAGACGGTGTAGCCTACTGCACATCAGGCTTTGTGGTATAGCCGTTTCCTCCTAGGCTACAAACCTATATAATATGTTACTGTACTGAATACTATAGGCAGTTGTAACATAGTGGTATTTGTGTATCTAATATATCTAACCATAGAAAAGGTACAGTAAAAATATGCTATGAAATATTAAAAATGGTACATGTACCTGTGTAGGGTCCATACCATGAATAGAGCTTGTAGGACTGGAAGTTGCTATGGGTGTCAATGAGTGGTAAGTAAATGTGAAGGCCTAGAACATCACTGTACACTATTGTAGACTTTATAAACATTGTACGCTTAGGCTACACTAAATTTATACAAAAATATTTTTAAAATAATTAACCTTAGCTTATTGTAACTTGGTTTTTTTCTTTTTTTTGAGACAGAGTCTCGCTCTGTCACCCAGACTGGAGTGCAGTGGCGTGATCTCGCCTCACTGCAAGCTCTGCCTCCTGGGTTCCCGCCATTGTCCTGCCTCAGCCTCCTGAGTAGCTGGGACTATAGGAACCCGCCACCATGCCCAGCTAATTTTTTGTATTTTCAGTAGAGACAGGGTTGTCTCGTGTTAGCCAGGATGGTCTCGATATCCTGACCTTGTGGTCTGCCCACCTTGGCCTCCCAAAGTGCTGGGATTACAGATGTGAGCCACCGCGCCCAGCCATGCATTTTTTACTTTACAAAGTTTTTTAAAAAAATTATAGAGTCATGGTCTTGCTCTGTCACCCATGCTAGAGGGCAATGGTACAGTCATAGCTAACTGCAGCGTCGACCTCCTGGGCTCAAGTACTCTTCCCACCTCAGCCTCCTGGGTAGCTAGGACTGCAGGCTTGTGCCACCATGCCTAGCTAATCTTGTAATTATTTTGTAGAGATGAGATCTCACTACCTTGCTCAGTCTGTTCCTGAAATCCTGGCCTCAAGTGATCCTCCTGCCTTAGCCTCCCAAAGTGCTGGGATTACAGGCATGAGCTGCCACACCTGGCTCCACTTCATAAAGTTTATAAAGTAGGTTAGTTTGCAACAGCATTTCCACAAACATGTGAATAATGCATTGTACTGTGATATTATAACAGCTATGATGTCACTAGGCAGTAGGAATTTTTCAGCTCCATTATAATCTTATGGGGCTGTTATTGTATATGCAATACATCATTGACTGCAGCATCGTTATCTGGCACATGACTATATTGTCTTTTAAATTCTTAGCTATTCACTAGCATTCCCAAAGGAACTGATTAAGGTAATTTTTATAGATACTTAAAGATCACAAATGTTCTTTTTAGTTAACATGCGTGTGTGTGTGTGTGTGTGTGTGTGTGTGTGTGTGTGTGTATCATTCTTCTTCATGAAGAAAAACGTTGGGGAATGCTCTTCTAGTTGTGTTACTGAACTGAACTTGGGTCTGCCCATCAGGTTCACCAAAGCCAAACACTTACATCAAGATTTGCAGTGAGAGAAAGTGAGACACTTATTTCAGGGTGCCAAGCAAGGAGAATTGGGCAGCTTGTGCTAAAGACCCAACCTCCTCTATGGCTTACATATAAGGGTTTTTAAAGGTGGGGAAATAAGGGGTTACAGGCAAAGGCATACATCAACACATGAAGTATGTACATTGGTTTGGCCTAAAAATGCAGAACATCTTGAAGCAGGGGCTTACCGAATCATAGGCGGATTCAAACAGTTTTTGATTTGCAGTTGGTTAACGAAGGAGAGCTTTGTGTAAAGACGTGGGGTCAGCAGAAAAGAATATTAGGTCTGTCCCATGGGCATGACTTCCTCCAAGCCACTCAGGAGGAAATTTAGAACAAAGAAACGTGGTTAGAGTTCAGTCTCCAGTTTCTTCTTATCTGAAGTCTGTGTACCAGCAGATCCATTTGGTGGTGGTCCAGGTTTCTGAAAAACAACTCAGGGCCATGTGTTAAGATGTTTTCTTTAGTTTCCGTGGGTGTTACAGGAAAGGGGTCTCCATCCAGACCCCAAGAGAAGGTTCTTGGATCTCATGCAAGAAAGACTTCAGGGTGAGTCCATTAAGTTAAAGTGAGTTTATTAAGAAAGTAAAGGATTAAAAGAATGGCTACTCCATAGACAGAGCAGTCCTGAGGGCCATTGGTTGCCCATTTTTATGGTTATTTCTTAATTATGTGTTAAACAAGAAGTGGATTATTCCTGCCTGCCCTTTTTGGACCTTATAGGGTAACTTCGTGATGTTGCCATGGCATTTGTAAACTGTCATGGCTCTGGTGGTAGTGTAGCAGTGAGGATCATCAGAGGTCACTCTAGTGGCCATCTTGGTTTTGGTGGGGTTTAGCTGGCTTCCTTACTGCATCCTGTTTTATCAGTGAGGTCTTTATGACCTGTGTTTTGTGTCGACCTCCTATCTCGTCCTGTGACTTTAGAATGCCTTAACCATCTGGGAATGCAGCCCAGTAGGTCTTAGTCCTATTTTACCCAGCTTGTATTCAAGATGGAGTTGCTGTGGTTCACATACCTCTGACATAAGGAACCAAACATTTTATGACTTTAACTTCCTCGGCTATTATTTTAAGCTGTTATGACCTTTTGCTTATCAAGTTGCTCATTTACTTCTCAGGGCTAGCTGAATGCCTTGAATTTTCCTTGAGGAAACTTAAGATTTTCCATTATTTCCAATCTGGGGTTGGAAAGCAGCAGACCCCAGAGAGGAATGCCTGTGCTGTCTCAGTTGTCAGATATTGTGGTCAGATTTATTAATGCCTTATTACTTATATAATTCTCTCAAATTGACCTTTTCAATTTTGTTTCACAACAGATGTCTGAAGAAATAAGTTTTCATTATCTTTAGAGGTAATGAGTGCCTCAAGCTGTAGTGATTATTAGACTCATAAATGCATGCAAACTTTAAATAAAAATGACCCATAATAAGCTTTTATTCAGTGTTGATGTGTATGCTGCTCTTTGAAATTCCTCAGTGGTAATCTGTTTGGAATGTGTATCTACTGTAATGTCACGGAAATTCAACAGTGGTCATATTGGGGCTTTGCAAGACGGTACTTGAGTGGGACCTTCCCCAAAATCATTGACCAAAAAAAAAAAAAAAACACAAACACCAAGCAAGTCTCTTTTTGCTGAGATTCTGATAACATATGTTGTTGTTATGACACTTACTCCCTTTTTGGTAGTACAGAATTGGTATGTGAAACATTAACAGTTTTCTTTCAGGAAAATTAGAAGGAGAGTAGAGAAAGAGACATTAGGAATTCTTTTTTTTTTTTTTTTTTTTTTTTTTTAGACAGAGTCTTGCTCTGTTGCCCAGGCAGTGCAGTAGCGTGATCTCAGCTCACTGCAACCTCTTCTTCCCAGATTCCAGCAATTCTCCTGCCTCAGCCTCCCAAGTAGCTGGGATTACAGGCACGTGCCACCACACCCAGCTAATTTTTGTTGTTTTTGGTAGAGGCAAGATTTCTCCATGTTGGCCAGGCTAGTCTCGAACTCCTGACCTCAGGTGATCTGCCCGCCTTGGCCTCCCAAAGTGCTGGGATTACAGGCGTGAGCCACCACACCCAGCCAGGAATTTTTTTCGGCCTTGCCCATTTTTCACTCTCACAGCTTCTGTCTTAGTCCATTTCATGCTGCTATAACAAAATACCACAGACTAGCTAACCTTTTTATTTATTTGAGGCAGAATCTTTTTGCATCACCCAGGCCGGAGTATAGTGGTACAATCATGGCTCATCATAGCCTCAATCTTCTGGGCTCAAGCAGTCCTCCTACTTCAGCCTGCAGAGTAACTGGGACTACAGGCCCATGCTACCATGAAAATTTATAGTGGAGATGAGTTCTAACTGTGTTGTCCAGGCTGATCTCAGACTCGTGGCCTCATGCAATCCTCCCGCCTCAGCATCCCAAAGTGCTGGGATTACTTGCAGGTGTGACCCACTGCACCCAGAGCAGTAATTTATAATGAACAAAAATTTATTGGCTCACTGTTCTGGAGGCTGAGAAGTCCAATATTAAATGGTCAGCGTCTGAAAAGAGTTTTCTGTTTCCTGCTGTCCCATCCCATGACTAGCAAACTCAAGCGCTTGCTACATAGGCAAAAGGGGGCCAAACTTAGCCGTTTATAAGGAATTCACTCTAGAAATAACAACATTATTCTATTCATGAGGGCAGAGCAGTCATGGCCCAATCACTGGTGAAAGGTGCTACCTCCTAATACTGTCACAATGACAATCACATTTAACATGGATTGGGCACACATTCAAATCATAGCAACTACAAATTCATTTTTTTTCCATATGTATTCTTTTGAATGCATTCCTCTTAGTGTTTGTTTACTCTGTATCTCATTCCTCAATTTGAAAAGTGTTTGAAGGAAGATCATTGGGCTGAAGCATTTTCATATCATATTTGTTCACAGTGTCAGCGTAATAGAATGACATAGTAAATACTTGTTCACTAGGAAAGAGTATGAGAGAAAAGGCACTTAAGTGCAGTACCTCAGATTAAACCTAAAATTCGTCCCTCCTCCTATATTGTGCTGACTAAAATCAGTAAGTTTCTGATTTTGTACTTTTGGGGAAAATATTAAACACACAACTTAAATATACAAATATTTATGAAGGATACTTGTGCGAAGAGGCACTGTACTAATCTTTGCACAGATATGGATATAGTTAGAATACAGTGTTTATGTATTCAGTGTTTAATATTTTAATAGATAAAGCTTGAATGGTAGGTTGTGGTTTCTTTTTTTATTATTATTATACTTTATGTTCTAGGTACATGTGCACAACGTGCAGGTTTGTTACATATGTATACATGTGCCATGTTGGTGTGCAGCACCCATTAACTCGTCATTTACATTAGGTATATCTCCTAATGCTATCCCTCCCCCATGCCTCCACCCCACAACAGGCCCCTGTGTGTGATGTTCCCCTTTCTGTATCCAAGTGATCTCATTGTTCAGTGAGTGAGAACATGCGGTGTTTGGTTTTCTGTTCTTGCGATAGTTCGCTGAGAATGATGGTTTCCAGCTGCATCCGTGTTGCTACAAAGGACACGAACTCATCCTTTTTTATGACTGCCTAGTATTCCATGGCATATATGTGCCACATTTTCTTAATCCAGTCTGTCAGTGATGGACATTTGGGTTGGTTCCAAGTCTTTGCTATTGTGAATAGTGCCACAATAAACATATGTGTGCATGTGTCTTTATAGCAGCATGATTTATAATCCTTTGGGTATATACCCAGTAATGGGATGGCTGGGTGAAATGGTATTTCTAGTTCTAGATCCTTGAGGAATCGCCACACTGTCTTCCACAATGGTTGAACTAGTTTACAGTTAGACCAACAGTGTAAAAGTGTTCCTATTTCTCCACATCCTCTCCAGCACCTGTTCTTTCCTGACTTTTTAATAATCGCCATTCTAACTGGTGTGAGATGGTATCTCATTGTGGTTTTGATTTGCATTTCTCTGATGGCCAGTGATGATGAGCATTTTTTCATGTGTCTGTTGGCTGCATAAATGTCTTCTTTTGAGAAGTGTCTGTTCATATCCTTTGCCCACTTTTTAATGGGGTTGTTTGTTTTTTTCTTGTAAATTTGTTTGAGTTCTTTGTAGGTTCTGGATATTAGCCCTTTGTCAGATGAGTAGATTGCAAAAATTTTCTCCCATTCTGTAGGTTGCCTGTTCACTCTGATGGTAGTTTCTTTTGCTGTGCAGAAGCTCTTTAGTTTAATTAGATCCCATATGTCAATTTTGGCTTTTGTTGCCATTGCTTTTGGTGTTTTAGACATGAAGTCCTTGCCCATGCCTATGTCCTGAATGGTATTGCCTAGGATTTCTTCTAGGGTTTTTATGGTTTTAGGTCTAACAGTTAAGTCTCTAATCCATCTTGAATTAATTTTTGTATAAGAAGTAAGGAAGGTTCCAGTTTCAGTTGTCTACTTATTGCTAGCCAATTTTCCCAGCACCATTTATTAAATAGGGAATCGTTTCCCCATTTCTTGTTTTTGTCAGGTTTGTCAAAGATCAGATGGCTGTAGATGTGTGGTATTATTTCTGAGGGCTCTGTTCTGTTCCATTGGTCTATATCTCTGTTTTGGTACCAGTACCATGCTCTTTTGGTTACTGTAGCCGTGTAGTATAGTTTGAAGTCAGGTAGCGTGATGCCTCCAGCTTTGTTCTTTTGATTTAGGATTGTCTTGGCAATGCGGGGTCTTTTTTGGTTCCATATGAACTTTAAAGTAGTTTTTTCCAATTCTGTGAAGAAACTCATTGGTAGCTTAATGAGGATGGCATTGGATCTATAAACTACCTTGGGCAGTATGGCCATTTTCACGATATTGATTCTTCCTATCCATGAGCATGGTATGTTCTTCCATTTGTTTGTGTCCTCTTTGATTTCACTGAGCAGTGGTTTGTAGTCCTCCTTGAAGAGGTGCTTCTCATCTCTTGTAAGTTGGATTCTTAGGTATTTTATTCTCTTTGAAGCTATTGTGAATGGGAGTTCATTCATGATTTGGCTCTCTGTTTGTCTGTTATTGGTGTATAAGAATGCTTCTGATTTTTGCACATTGATTTTGTACGCTGAGACTTTGCTGAAGTTGCTTATCAGCTTGAGGAGATTTTGGGCTGACACAATGGGGCTTTCTAAATAGACAATTATGTCATCTGCAAACAGGGACAATCTGACTTCCTCTTTTCCTAATTGAATACCCTTTGTTTCTTTCTCTTGCCTGATTGCACTGGCCAGAATTTCCAACACTTTGTCGAATAGGAGTGGTGAGAGAGGGCATCCCTGTCTTGTGCCAGTTTTTAAGGGGAATGCTTCCAGTTTTTGCCCATTCAGTGTGACATTGGCTGTGGGTTCGTTATGAATAGCTCTTATTATTTTGAGATACGTTCCATCA